ATATTAAGTCAAGTTTTGCTTAATCATGGTTGTTCAATAAACCACACTTGGCTGGTTTATACTATACCCAAAGCCCTAAATCAGGAATTTGCAATCTTTGAGTGGTCAGGACCCCAACTCAGCTTTCACCTTCTACATGCATCATCTGGTGATGCAGTAACATCACCAAAAGAGGATGGTGGTTGTTTGTTGTTATTTTACTAGTTTTTATGCAGATGGGTATTAAGGATAGGAATGGGAGCAGGAGTCTCAGTGAGGCAATTTGCTACCATTCCCACCCTTAAAGGCCTGACAATGTGCTGAAATATGAGTCCAAAATTCTGCATCTCAAATTGTGCCACCAAATGTTTATGAAGCAGTTTTGGAGAACTCAAAACTCTGAGCAAGCAAATCACATACAGTCCAAACCACAGTCTGAGATGTGAACCCAGTTATTCAGTGCAGCCAACCAGCAGAGTTTGTTAGGTTTGACTGAATTTGCAATCAGTCTGTTGAGGCTGTAGGCCATTGTCCCCTAAACCTCTGCCTGCATGGAATTGCACTCGCAAAATAGCTTGACCCAGCTATTCTCTGAGGGTCCCTCAACAATTCCAAGTGTAGGATCTGATTTAATTTTTCTGAAATGCTGGTGGTAACCTTAAACAGACCCTCAATCCATCTAGTCCAGCACTGGTAACACTGACTGGACATGTTTCAGACATGAGTTTTTCCAGTTTCTACCTAGATTACAGAAACCTAGGATTATAGAATTGTTTGTCAATTAAGTATGTAAGGTCTTTGAGCAATGATGGTAGAGAAGCTCCCAGTGGCCTAGTCCACACACTTTTTTTACTGCCCTGCCATCTCTCTGACTCTTGGTACCCACAAACATCTTCATGTTTGGATACAGACTGAGTAGCAGAAAGATGAACACTTGAGTTACAGTCTCTCATAAAGTATTCTGTCATTCAGAAACAAGCCCAAGATATGATTCACAGCCTGTCACTTGAAAGCATGCATTATTTACAGGGATTTCAGACCTGCTCCTATTCCAGTGAGCCTCCAGATTTAGTTATAAAGTGCCTTCTTTCCTCCAAGTCTCTCCAGTGGTTAAAACCTTCCCACCGAGCACCATTACATTATGCAGGCTGTGAAGCAAAGATGCTGATGACTATTTAGATTTCTACCTCTTCCTCCCTCCTCCTTTTGTAATCAAACAGGAAATTGGGGATGCCAAAATAAATGACTAAATTAAACCCAATTCCACAAATGTTTAATGGGCTGGCAGTTTGCAGAACCCAGGGAGCTCTGTGAAATGTTTACATGAGCAGATTAACTGCATTCAAAGCCAGTCCAAGATATTGCTGCTTGAGGTTGCAAAAACAAATGGTTTTCTCCTCTCCCCAGAAATAATGTGGTGCAACTTAGAGAAAGAGTGACTTGCAGTCCTCAGTGTAAATTCTTCTGGCCCTCTGGGGCTGAGGATACACAACAGACCACCCCCCAAAAGATGGTAATCCTGTCCCACCTTTAGCTTTGTCTCAACCTGCTTTAGCCGCACGACTCAGAAAGGAACTAGGAGTAATCTCATAGAACTTTTTCAGATCCTTACCAGAGTCTGATAAAGTGAACTATAGTTCTCAAAAGCCTTTTTCATAAAATCTGATAGTTGGAAAAGGTGGTACCAGATTCCTTCAGATTTTTGGCTACCATAGACCAGCATAGCTCTTGTAAGAATAAAAGACTTTCCATCCCAGTCTAGGTAAAAATTCTCCTGTACAACTCTCTCCCTTAACATTCAGTTTAGCAGATGTACTGTGATGGAATTATGAAGGCCAGGCTCAGAGAGATAAACATTTTCTTAGCTTGCCAGAGGAGCGTGGGAGATACAAGAGGATGAGACTGGCACCTCCTTGAGGAATTCACAATGTTGTGGCTGGCTGGCTTGGGAGATGGGGTTTCAGTCTGGGAAGATTCTTGCTAGAGGTTGTAGCTAAGAAACATAGCTGAACTGAATTTGCATTGTCTCTTGGAGTTCCTTGGGCTAGGCCTGAAATGTACAGAAGAATTTCCCAAAGGACTGCGTTTATGACGTGGGTTGGATTCCTCTCTCACCTTGCTGTTCCTTAATTAATAACGAACGGATGGGATTTTTTAAAAAACTTCTTGGTTGAAATGCTTAGGGCTAGCTGGGATTTTTAATTTGATAGGCTCATTAAAAAAAGTAATCCACAGTATTTTACTTCCTTTGCTGTTTCATGGTAGAATTCATAGGTGCTCCCTTTCCAGTAAGGTATTAGCTCCAAATGGTTGCATCAGCAGATAACTCCTCATGTCAGTGAGATTCATAAAAGAAAAGCACCATCTTGATCTAAAACCTGCATTCTGGTCTACAAATATATGAGTAGTGCTATTGTCATGGACCTTTTGAAAAATTATTTCAAGAATGAAACAGCCTCAACAAACCATTAGCAAAGTGGTCCCAGGAGAGGCAAGGCCAGTGGTCAAAACAACTGAATTCAATTTTAAGACTGAGATCCCACTTAGTATATACGGGCCAGGGATGTACAAGCCAGAGACTGAAAGGCACAAGAGCACTCAACTGTATGAAAAAAATCCTCAAGAGTAACATCCATACTAAGACCCTATCCCAATTAGCTTCTCCAAGTGGTGATTGAACCAATATCTGAGTGGACACTATGGAAATCAGAACATAAAAATTTTCAAATGGGATCAGAGCAATGCTGCAAATGTCTTTTTGCTGGACTATCCAATTGAATTCAGAGTGAAGGGTTCCCTGGTTCTGATGGACCTTGAATGCTAGACCTAACCTGGTAAAATCTGCTTTGTTTCTGACTTCTCATGGCCAGTGAACCTGCTGTTTCAGTTTTACTTATATCTGATTTCTCTTGAAAACAGAAATAGAAGGCATATAGGCTATACTTTCATATAGGTTTTGTATCAATCTAACTGTCATGAGTTCTTCTAAAGTCTTATGGGAATAGCAGCTGGGTGAGGTAGTATTCACTAAGCCCCTCCTAGAAGCACAACCACATTTAAGACTTTAGCAGCAGACGCAGCAAAAGCACACAGCCACACCCCATTTATTTATTTTGGGAAAATGGTTAAGAGCAGCATGTGGAAATTACCACTTCTCTTTATGCCATGTCTCTTGGCAGCACACAGAGAAGACCCCAAAGACGGCTGAGAAGATTTCATTTCCTGCTGCTCTTTAAATATTGGGACCAAGTTAGGCTCAGCATCAGATTTCGAGGGAGGCCTCCTCACCTCCACCCCTTTTTTCCCATGCTTTACCTTTTGGGGAAAAAGTAGAGCAAGAGTTAGTAGAGCAGCCTTTTTTTTTGCAGAGCAATTTTAGGACCAGCTCTATGCCCACCGCAGAAAGGAGAGCTTACTCTCCGTTAGGCCTCTCTTATCTGCCAATATAGTGCAGCTCACCCTGGAGGTTATTGAGTTGCAAACAATCCTAGACACTTTGGAGCATAACCAGCTCCAATGTTGACTGGATTTGAGGATGTTCATAACACATTATGCCCCTTGACCCAGTTAGACAATTCGTGCAAATATAGCCATGCAGATGAATGACTACCCTCAAAGATAACTGCTGAACCCACCCAAAAACTAATCAGAATAATCAACAATATCAAAATTATGGGGAAAAGAGGAACAGAGTTGTGCTTAACTCAAAAAAAGATTTGATTTTATCTGCTACAAGAGGTCAAATAAATGCATTTTAATCTTAGGGAGACCTTTGCTGTGTGTCAAATTTGGCTTTACCAAGGTGGCTTACTGGGGGATTTTGTGTGTGTTTGTTTTTGGGTTGCTTTATTTATTTATTGCTAGCTAATTTGAGAGCTGTTTATTGGAAAGGCAGGGTATAAATCCAATAAATAAATAATCTGTCTTTTAATGTGTTTATTCAAGGACCGATTATGAATAGCAGGCCCCCTCCTCAATGTTTCTTCAAAGCTTGTGGCTGTTTAGATTTACCTTCCCCTCAGTCTTTAATCTTAGGCATGCATAGAGAAATGTGTTTCCTTTCCTATCAAGCCTTCTGCTTGTTATCTTTGGTTTAATTTTTCAAAAACAGCCTATTCAAAGATTGCCGGATGACTTCTGGGATACTGGGATGGGGAGGTGGGTAGAAAATAAGTTTCTGAATCTCACTGCCCCTCTCTGCTCTCTGCTGCTGTGTGAAAACAGTTCCTTCCCTTCAGCTTCTTCTTCTGCAGCTGATTGCACAGTATTCTCTTGGAAAAGACCCAAAATACCTGCTTGTGTGCTCATGGCATTCATTACTTAGATTATGTGATAGTTCATTTGCCAGAGAGGATATTCTGCTCATGGACTTCCAGTACTTTAATTTTGGTGACCAGGAACCAGATGTGCAGGAAACAAGGACTATGTTAGAACATAGACCATGGAAAGGCACTTCTCCTGAGAGGACTTGTTCCATCTGTCTGGACTTCTGGCTCATGATTTTAGGTCACTATGAGCAGAGCTAAGTTCTAAGCTTCAGAAGACCTAAGTTTCAAACCCTGTCAACACTCTCCAATGAGTGTTGGATAATAATGAATGGCAGCAACCATTAGAGGCTAATATGTGTAGGTCAAGGTTGAACTGTGGAGTCCTTCAGGGTCTCGAAGTTTGGTTCTTTTCTTGCAAACGTTTCATTACCCGGCTAGGTAACATCTTCAGGGCTAGAATGGGATGGGGTCCCATTCTAGCCCTGAAGATGTTACCTAGCTGGATAATGAAACATTTGCAAGAAAAGAACCAAGCTCAGAGAACCCCAAGGACTCCACGGTAGCAACCATATTTCCTGAATACATCAAATGGGCATCCTAGATTCCCCCAGGGTTTTTTTTTTCTGGGGTTTCATGCAAATAAGGATATTTAAAAACATTCCCTAAAAAAAAATCAGTTGTTGGTCAGAACTCTGGCACAATGAGCATTCATATTATTTTTCATAATGGTCCCTTCTTTGTTCTTTTGCTTAGATCTGAAAGGGGTAGTTTCAGCCAAGAATGATATCCGTGTTGAGATTGTTCACAAGGAGTCTGCCTCAAGCAGAGAAACTGAGGAACACTCAACAATCAAGCAGCTAATGGTAAGGATTTATTCTGTCTCCCCTTAATCCATTGCTGTCCTTAACTTACAACAATAATGAGTGCAGACATATGTTGTTTAGGGCATGAAAGCCTATGACAGGGAGGTATGCTGTTTCAAAATTTCACACATTGCTCAGAGCTGTTAAAATCAAAGAGTGCAACTTTATTAATGCAGACAAGAGAAACAGGAGAAATTGACTATTGCTGTTCAGCAAATAGCCTGCGGGCTCTGATGAAAAGTAAGGTTTCCTAGTCCTTGTTGAAGAAGTTGACATGATCACCAATGGACACAAAGGAAATTGAGCAATGCATTATTATCACCATCATCATCCATTTAAGCACAAACAAGATGCATGTTCAGTGGCAAGACAGATGTGTATGAACACATACACCAAATCTTTCAACAGGGAAAGTTTGTGGGTTACCTCATTACTGTCAAACCAGCTAGAGCTCCAAGCAGAGTTTGGGTGACCTGAAATCACACTCAGTTCCAAATATCTCTCAGAGATGACTCAAGATATTTTGATGCCAGAGGCTATCTCTAAATGGTATCTCCTGTAGCAGTAAAAATAAAATATAAAATAAAATGTGCTGCTGACTGAAATGGACAATTCACCTTGTGTAACAATTCCGCCTCTTTGCAGAGCAAAACGTGAGATGTTGAGGCCACATAAAGCCTTCCCCCTCAAGACCTCCAAAAAGCGTTACCAAATTGTAGTTTTTAGAACATGCAGAGAGGGAAAATACTTAATGCATAACTGGAAAGTATCAATATTACTCTGATTTAATTAAAATAATATTTTCTTTATGACATTCACTACTTCTTAAAATGTGGCCCCCAGTCTGCTTTTTCTAGCTAATTTCCTGGGTCCTTTGGCCCAGAAGACGCTATGCTGTTATAAAGATTGGTAGACCTAGATTGGGTCATGGAGAGGAGTTGGCTCATTCAGGGAGTTTGGGTACCCAGCCCTCAAAGCACAGTTTAACGTAATGGTATGTAGGAATGACCATGGGAAACTGGGCAAAGAGATGCTGGCTAGGGAATGGTCAGATAAGAGGGAGCATAGCCCACAGCTGCATGGTGGGTGGAACAAACGGCTCAAAAGGGACCCTCCCTAGGTTCTTGGGCTGTAAAGGAGACGGTGGGAGATTTGTACTTTCAGACTTGCAAGATTCTGTTAATGTAGCCTTATTAAAGTAGAATTAGCTCATCTGGTGGTATTTCCTGTCTGGTCTACCAGGGAAGGATGACATTTAATCTACCAGGTTTGTTATGGAAACCAGATGCTGAGGTCATAAAAGTATGGCACAGAAAAACATTCTAGAGACCTCTGCCTCCCAATTTCTGATGCTCTCTCCTCCACATTCCCAGATATGTCAGGAAGTGGCAAAGATGTAGGTTAAATTTGCTCATACAATATTGGGCACAGCTAGTGGGAGAAATGTTCTTAAACTTGAGTTAAAAACTGGGTCCAGACCAAAATACTTGATAATACATGAAGCTACAAGAACAATTTTCCTGTTCTCCCTACATGTTCTGCATTCAAATGCCAGATTTGTTTTTTCCCTACTGGGGCCACATTATAAATGACTAATAAAAGAAAAACACATGGAAAGAATATTGAGCCACAACAAATACAGTAAAATTATCCAGGAGAAGAAAAGCAAAAGAGAGGGAGAAATAAAGAGGATATGCTTTAAACAAGTTTGGTGTTTCTCTCCATGCATGTAGACACACATCCATCATCAATTCAAATTCTCAGCCATCTTCTATTGATATTCATTCATTTTGACTGGAAAGATGGCTCAGGAAAGACCCAGTCTGACAGGGAATCTTCATGGCTTGGGCAGAATTGATTTGAAATGATACAGATATGCAAATCTAGTTCTTGAAATGTCTTTGAAAACAGAATGAGGAACTCTCCGTTGTTTATTATTCTCTCAATTGGTCCACCAAATTCTGAATTGTCCTTTGTTTTGTTTCTGAAACTATCTCAGTAAGAACAAGAACCACACAATTGGGTTTTGTGCATTCTTCTCAAAGTGAAAACCCAAATGGATATTAATACCAAACTTATTTGGGCATGAGTTAAATGGCCAGGTTAAATTTTCATGAAATAGCTTATTTTATTACTGTAGAGCTTTATATACTCCTATATTAATTCTTGTGCAATATATTCCCAATTTACTACCTTTCAATCTGAGCTGAATTCCACATTTAAATTTAAATAGTTTTTTTTAATTTATAACTCTCCCATAATGCAATGGGGGAGCACATGTTTCGCATGTAGAAGGTTCTCAGTCCAGTCTTCAGTCCTTCACGTAAGTACTGCCAGAATAGACAACACACAGTTAAATGAAGCAACAGTTTAACTTGATAATAAAGTGGTTTCGCAGACTTCTATTTATCAAGGATCACAAAGCCATGAGTCTTCCTTTTCCTCCTTCCTCTCCATAATATCCAGTACTCCCAAAGATCATTACATCGTTACATTGATCAGTTTTCTCCAGATGTGTTAAGACAGCAACATCTAAAATCACACACAAAGATGCACAACTTCATAAAGCCCTTTTAGTTCTGTTTTATGCTAGCTAAGAACCTTCCTTTTCCTTGAGAATAAAATGTGTATATCAAGTGTAGAGAGTTTCAATGGCAAAAGGGCAGGGGGCAATATAGGTGGGCCTCTCTCTAACAATAGATTATCTAACATCCCAATGGGGCTCAACTCTGGGGTTCAGGCTGTACTTTCTAGCACGCTTAGCAGGAAAATAGCCCATTCTTGCTTGGTACCATCTCTCTTTCTCTCTTTGGAATCCTCTGCTCTGGCAGAAGCTAATGAAGACTTCCTCATGATTAAAAAGCCTCTGTGTCTTTCCTTCGCATTGCTTGCAACACTAGGCACATGATCCTACCTCTAGCAGTAATAGGTCCACCCTGGGCACACTCAAATAACATCCCAATAAGAATTTTTAGGAAGAAATTTGTCAATGAGTTGACAGATTTGGATCTGGCTTCATTAATATACAGCTACAATGAATCACTGGCAGGATTGTGAACAACCCTGATAGCATGATGGAAGTAAACCAGCCTGCTGTGCCCAGAAAGAGCAAAGGATTCTGGAGATATGGCAGAAACCAACGGCTGGCATATCTTCTTCATGCAACTCCATGTTGATTCTTCCTTCTTGGAGTTCTCCCAAATTTCCACATCAGCCACCTGTCAAAGTTGGCAACTTAAGTTGTTACAAGTGAGTTTCTCCATCACCCCGGCAATCATTTCTATGTTCAGCTGGCAACTTGCTTGGTGTGTGGTGATGGAAGGAATGGGGGGTTTGCAGAGCAAATCTCTGAACAACTGGGAGGAGTGAATACCTTCTGTGTTCCTCTCCCATGCTTTTCCCTGAGTTGTACAAATGAATGTTGCCTACTATACTGCAAGAGGCATTGTGTAGTAAAATAATAAAGCATCTTTGAAATATCTAGGGCCATGAATGCTCACACTTGGATATAAAAGTAGTACAGAATTTTTCCTACCATATTCACTGTTAATCAGTACTAGAACACCTTGGTCCTGTTGTTGAAAGAGGGGGTGGGGAAGGGAGGCCGACTGTTCTGTAAAGCTGGCTCAGGTAAGAAGTCACTTTCCTGACCTCTTTACCAGGTCCAACTAATCAAAGCACTTCCTACTGGAGCTAATACGTAGCACTCCTTTATCCTTTTCTCTGTTGGAATCATTACCAACCCAGCACACATGTTCAAGCAAAACCCAATGGTTAGCATCAACCATGAGCAATTAAAGGAGACTCAGATTGTTATGCAACAGAATGAAGATAAGCCCCAGGATGTGCGGTGACCCCTCAGTTGCCTAAAAACCAGGAGGCTCAGAAAGCTTAGAATCAGTCCTCATCCTCTGAGGTTGAGACCCTCAGTGAAGGCCCCAAATGATAAAGAGAGGGTGAACTTCCACCAAACTGTTTTGTGGGTGCAGGCCCAAAGTCATTGTACACATGTGAAAAATAGTTCCTGTCAGGAGAAGGAGGTTGCTTAGGAGTAAAGCCTGTTTGCAATCACGGCTTATTCTGAATTTATCAATAATTAACAGCTGGAGTATGAACCAAGTCCCAGTGTATCTCTGACTTTATTAGTTTTCAGTTCTGATATGCTAGTACAGAAGCAACATCTTGATGTAAACACCTCCTGATCAGGGTGATGTTTCTTGATACTCTTACTGTGTATACTTTGGCTCTTGGGTTAGTTTTGGACTTTGCTTTGAAACCTGATCCTGTCTGTTGCTTACCAGCTTCTTGAGCTTTATACATACACTGTGAACTATCTGCTGACTCTGCTGTAAGTTAGGGTTCTTGTTCTGGAATTGTTTTGGGTAGCAACCCATGCCCTAGACAAAGCCAACATGGAGGAGAAGAATCCATAGACAGCTGAGTCAAGGATTATTGTACTACTAGCTGAGAAGTAGAGCCAAGATTCTGATGCCAAAACTAAGCCTGATGTTGAAAACCTGTGCTAGCCCCTTGAAGTAGGAAAGGCCAAGAAACAGCTGTACAGGGATTTCAGGAATGCTGTTTACTGTGGTAAGGTAGAATAACAGAAGCTTGAAAATCTATCAAAGTTTCTCTCTATTCCATCTTATACCAAATAAAATCAAGGCATTTTGAGTTTCTCAGGACTGAGTAATCTTTTCTGAAACTCCTCCCTTTGCTGTTCAATCATCCTTCCCAATTTCCAAGGCCAGGTGTACATTTTTTTTTCACAGCCTATGAATCTTGAACCAGAATTTCCATAGACATCTTCCTGGAATTGATTCTTCTTGCAGAGCTATGCAATTTCTCCTCCATGGTGCTTTCCCAATGATACATGGGGGTGTTAAAAGATTTTAGGTTAGGGAAGTGATTAATTTATCTTTTTCTCTTTTAAATCTCACACTTTGGAGGGGAACAATATTGCACAGTTGCAATCTGTGCAATTGGAGCTCTCCAGGGTC